ACTCGAAATGGAAGTAAGCTCAACAATTATGAAACAAGAGATTCCTCGAAAGCCAACTTTTCTTCACATAGAACATTTATAGGTTGTCTGGAGCCATTCGGCTTGTCCTCTTCGTGTTAATTTAAGTACGTTCATGAATGGGTGTGTATTTGTGGTCAGATCTTAACGTCCTAAGTCGAAGAAACAACCAGCCCTTGCCACTGCTTAATCTGAATCGACGGTCATCAATGCTTAATGGTCAAACAAGAGGAAATCACTTCAAGGTTGTGGCAGGGTATTCATTGAAACCAAGCTGTACTTGGTGTGACATCCTGTTTCCCGAATTCTGTCCGATAAGGATTGGGTGCGGTGCTTACCACGGTTGTGGACAGGGACCTTTGTTACTTAGAGGGCGTAGTAGCATTATTACATTTTTGTTGTGGTGCTGCGAAGTCTGCACAAACCCGCCTACACATTTTCAGTGTCAATGATGAGTGTTAGTACTCATTCTCTAGTACAGCTTTGCCGGAACTCACCCTTACATTTTGAAAATGAATCTCGGTTTACTTGTCCCGCTTTTTTAGTCGCGTCGATTTGTTTTTTTTGGTATCTATACGGTCCGATAGCTAAGTGTTCTGCAACAAAGCCTTGCGATGCTATTAAGCCTCATTTAGCCTTGCCTCTCAAAAATATTCTTGATCTCTGTTTGGTGGAAATTTCGACTTCACTTTGGTTTCACCAATATCTGCTTATTTTGTCGGACAAATTGTTGTCCTCCCCAATTCGTCGTTTTTTCAGGCCTTTTGTTCTCATTACGCATGGCTAGCTGTTATCCCGCACAAACAACATTCCAGTACGGCTTATTTAACCAAATTTAAGTCCGATCAAGATAATACTTTAAGTTCCATTTTCCTTTGTTTGTACTTGCCTATGACTCAGGCTGTATGCGTGCGGTTTATACTTATCTGTCTTGATCACGGGAATTGGCGGCGGCCATTGTTGCTGTGACGAAAACGATAAAAAAGCCCAGCAGGATAGAGAGGCCTACATGTTGCAGTTCGTCATCCTGATAAACTGATCGAGTCTCAATTGCAGTTATTTTTCTCTAGAATCTAATCTAATTCAAAGTCATCATATTGTTTATTGTTGTGCTTAGATCTAAGGATATTTACAACGCTAATCAAATTTGTAGCCTATTTGACCTCATGAGATTTCGAGCATATTATATTCCGAGCGAATTTGGTACCAATAAAGACTAGTCTGGTTTCACGTGACCTCGAATTGTTTTATTAATCTATATAGCCTTGATTTCTCCAACTATTTAATTTCTTATCATAATGAATTTATGGGTGTTTTTCTTGTCGCTTCACGAGTGCCCGATAAATTCGCAGCCACGTGTCCAATCCTTCAAAATATCGCTGTACATCAATTTTGGATTATCATTCCAACATCTATCTAAAATTATATTTGAATTCCAATCATTCATTATCTAAAGCATTCGCTTCATTATTACAGCCTGAGTACGACAGTTAAGCTGAAATCACGCATTCCTGTTAA